GGGCCAAACTTCAGTCAGGAGAACAACTGAGATTATTACGCACAATACGAGGTTAGTTATTAATATACTGCAACAACATGGGAATAAAGCAGCTGCGAGAGAATTCAACATTAATGAATCAGTCTTACAGAAGTGGAGGAAGGGCAGTTTTTGGCTTTCCCCATATTTCAAAAGTGCTTCATCTCTTTGCTATGACTGTCGCCCGGCATAATTTGCAGATGATAATGGTTGTAGCCACTGCGATGCTTTCGACCAAAACAGACGCAGCTTGATGACATCATCAGCATGTGCTATCGCAATAGAGCGGTATAGTCAAAATCTCTATTGTTGGCCAAATTTATATCGTTTATATCGTATATCGTTTATATCACCCACCCCTGAGTGATGTATTCCTCTATTCCTCACCAGTTTCTCCCTTACCATGCTGCTGTTGAGATTCTTCTCCACCTTGCAGAAAGTGTGTGGTGGGGTCTCCCCTTTGCTCGGGATGATGATGCAGACGTCTGTGACGGCCAAGGCGGCGTGCGGCTGGCTCTCGGGAGCCCGGCGGTAGGTGATGTAGATGCGTTGGGAGGAATTACCACTGATGTTGGCTGGGCGACCAGAAGGTGTGGTTTGGATAAGGTGGCAGCCCTGCTTCAGACGCTCCTTCCACTCATACAGCACACTACAGGAGGAAGCACAGCAATGTGGTCAACCACATAAACTGCCACATCGGGGTGTAGTTATTAGTGTGATTGCCATGCACAACTGATTGCTGGGCTACTCAGCTGGAGCAAGTCCTACGCTAGTGCAGAATTCAATGGCTTGCACAATGAAATTGATTAGTCTGCTCTGTATTATCTTATCCAAAGCAGCATTTGATGGAATTCATGAAAAACAAATAGACATTTATAAGCATTCAAAGTGGCAAATTCAAGCTCAGAACCACCTCCATTACTTTGGCCACAATAACGCATGTTGCAAAGGAGGAAAAAGTCTGGACACTATCTGGCTCCAATTTAATAATGGAATTCTTGCCAGCCACAGTCTTGTTGAGCAGACATCCTGACACTGTATTTAGAAGCAGCACAAATTTAGCACCAGTGTTTATTCCAATGCAACCCTGTCTATTTACTGATTCCTTCTAATGTGCGAACTCTGCTTTCAGCTGGAACACTTTGACTTAAATGCACATTTGGTAATGAAAAGATATCAAATCAGTATTCGGTTTTTCTGCTTTTAATTGAAAATTTTATTTTTTAAGCAGAATTTTAACTCCTATTCGCTTGTACTTATCAGCTGAATTTGCCTTTGACTGACTTTGAGATTTGTGATAGTCTTCACACATGTATATACACACAGCTTACAGTATACTGACACATATATTGAGCCTGTACTGCACAAGAGGACCCTTGTACAAACCACTTAGCGGACAAGTACTGAGAGATACGCAACAGTGGCAGTAATTTTAAACACTCCTCTTGGTATTTCCATTATGCACTTATCCTCCATTACTGTTTCAAGTGAACTCAACAGGCATTTTGTGGCACTGTCTGAAAGCTGGAAAGAGAAGAGAATGTAAAGTAGTCGACCAAGAGATTTTTATAGTTTCTTTCTTTTTGGTTCCTGCATGGATTGCTGTGGTAGCAAAGTGACCGACTTTGCTCTGCACGTCTTTCTGTGCTGTTCATACGTGTATATTGACATCAGTCAATACAAATATATGTAATACACTCTTAAAAATGGCTCAATAAAATATGTATTTATAAAACAAATATTCCCAGGGTAGGGTTACCTGGGCCCTGCCCTGGAGCCAGACCTGTGGAGGGTGCCCAAGGGTGAGCGCTTGATGGTCGGACCTTATGCCATAGGGCAGAGTCTGGCGCAGCCTTAAGAAGGGGCGTGTAGGGACATTCTAACTGTATCATCAAATCTGCAGCTGTGTGTTCTGGACACTGAGGTAAAGAGAGAGGCTGAGTTGCCACCAGGTGGTGAGTTGGATCAGGTGGTGAGGCAGCATGCTAGACAGACCTGCATGTCAAAACATATAATTAGGATGCTGCGCTGGGACCGCCTGAGAGAGGCCCCGGTCCACAAGATCTTCAACTCCCACCTCTGGCAGAGCTTTGACAGCCTTCCAAGGGAGACTGGGCACATTGAGTCCAAAAGGACCATGTTCAGTACCTCAGCAGTCGCAAGGTGGTCAGTGCCTGTTGTGGTGATAAAACGCAAACCAGATTCTAGATACCGCAGGTGAAGGGAGCCATCAGACTGAGGGAGTCCTATCGAGCTTGGTTAGCATGTGGGACTTCAGAGACAGCCTATAGATACCGACAGGCCAGGTGGAACACAGCTCAGGCAGTGGCTGAAGCAGAAAGGAGGGATGAGTTCGGAGAGACCATGGAAAAAGACTTTTGGACTGCCTTGAAGAGCTTCTAGGAAAACCGTCAGGCGACGGTAGATGTTGTAAGGCTGTCTTGGTTGACACGTCTCTACAATGTTTCATGGAGAGCAGGGGCAGTACCTTTGGATTGGTAGACCAGGGCAGTGGTTCCCATCTTCAAGAAGGGGGACTGGTGGGTGTGCTCCAACTATAGGGAGATCACTGCAGCTGCAGTGAAGTGGATACTGTACTGGTCCATCATGGTGAAGAGAGAAATGAGCATAAAAACAAAGCTCTCGATTTGCCAGTCAATCTAAGTCCCTACCCTCTCCTACGGTCACAAGCTTTGGGTGGTGACCGAAAGGAGTAGATACAAGTGGTGGAAATGAGCTTTCCCCAAAGGGTGGCAGGCCTCTCTCTTAGACATAGGGTGGGGAGTACGTCCATCCAAGAGGGGCTCAGAGTACAGCTGCTACTCCTCCCCGTCAAAAGGAGCCAGTGGAAGCTATTCAGGCTTCTAACAAGGATGCCTCCTGGGTGAGGTGTTGTGGGCATGTCCCACTGGGAGGAGGACCCAGGACACACTGGAGAGATTATATCTCTCAGCTGGCCTGGGAGTGCTTTGGTATTCCCCTGGACAAGCTGGAGGAGGTAGTTGGGGAGAGGGAGGTCTGGGCTTCTCTGCTTAGGCAACTGCCCCAATGACCCAGCCCTGGATAAGCAGAAGAAAATGGATGGAACGATGAAGCTCCGTATGTTCCCTTTTTAATCCTCATTATAGACCTTTTTCAGGGCACACATTTTGAGCACTGTTTAAAGTACTGTTTATTGTAGTCAATAATATTAACAATTACAGTTATTTAGGAGAGAACGATCCAAGGTGTGGTATTATATGTGATGGTTACTGAAGAGAGATTGCATAATTAATGAATAATAGTTAACAGTTCTACCTGTGGCTTTTCTGCTGTCATGAGTCAAAATGTGTGCGTTGAAAAACTTAAATTGCCACACATACACAACACTTTCTCCATTTGCAGACAGTGCCAGCAAAAAATATAATGTTTGAGTAAAACTGCATGCAAATAGTGCCTACACCTGTTCACCCACATAAGCCCTCAGTAACCATTAGTGTTGCCAGTGTCTGGGAAGTGCAGCCCCTTTGGGCTTTCAGCACACAAAAGCTGCTGATATTGTCTGAGCACATTCTTTGTCAGTGCCTGATAAGCACTGCACTGTGTAGTGTCAGAGGCCAGTGAGAGCCTCCTTAGCATCATCACCGCTAGTGTGGGAGTGCTCAGCAAACAGTATTGAATTCACACAGCTGAAAAGATGCTGCTGAAGTGGACACCTCTAACGGTGCTTTGCTTCCACTTTTCTGTTGGTAAAAATCACAATGGCTGAAAGCAACTACTGCGGAAAACCGCTACAAAGGAGGATTCCAGGGCAGAGCAGAGCATTTTCTGACGTGAGAGCACTTCAGCTTTTTGGGCCGCTTTTCACAGCTGGTAGAAAGCTGCCAGTCACAGGAAGAACAACCACAATGTTTCCTGATAACAGCAACTGATCTTAAATAGGGCTTCTCCAGAAAGTTTGTTAACTGTGAAATGAGGGAAAATTAGTTTTTGTTTCAGTGAGAGCCAGCTTCAACTTTGGGCCAGTTACCAGGGTAACAGACTCCATGAAGCTAAACTGCACACTGGCAGGTTTTTAATTTCTGTTGTTGAACTAGGACTCCTCTCATGCTTAGCCTAAAGTACCTGCCTGGCTGCGTCAATGCATATCATCATTCATTCAGTCGATACCAAAGCAAATATGGCAATACATCAATTAGCAGTTTTAAGTTGTTGTTTTTTCCTAGGATGACTTCCAGTTAAACATTAATCAATCTGTGCTCAAAGAACAAGGACAAAAATGGTTTTATAAGCTGTTTTTTATAAAGCTCTGTGACTGTAAAGACAATAAGGCACCTGTCAGGTTGTCAGCCAGTTCCTCTGCACTCAGATCAATATCAATTACAACATATGGTGGTGACTATATGAATATATCCAGGTGAGGATTATTGTGGTGTAGCTGAAACAACTTAAAGATTCTTAAACTGGACTAACAATGTAGTTTAAAGGGAGATTTTGAATTCAGGGTGCAGGCAGTCCGAATGTGTTCAAACAGCATTTAATGCTGAAATATTTACACACCTCATAAATAGAATCATTAAATGTTGCCATGCAAGATTTGTGAGTCCAAAAGGACATTTAAAAGTTAACAGAGGGTGTGAAAAACTAAATGTAGTAGGATTCCAGCTTTTTTTTAAATCTAACTGGGTAAATGATAATTGATTGGAGCAAAGAAAATAGAATCATTTTAACTTATTTTATATTTCCCTGCTGATTTTTAAGACAAATGTCACTGCTTCACACTGACATGCATTCATAACTGGAATGGATGAAAAATGGACTGTTTCTTTTATATCACTTTTTTTTTTTTTAATCTAATCCAGGGATCATCTCTGCTCATCATTTATGCATTGCCACAGTACTGTAGGCCAATTCCCCTTTTTTCCACACAGAGAGTTAACATACATAGCCAACTTATCCCTGGTCATGATCAGACTCAGAGTTTCTCATAAAAGAGTGAATCAACTCGAGTTCAGAGTTGAAATCAAATTAGCTAAATTTGCTTCCTGGAATGGTTCCAACAAGTAAGATGAATAATAAACGAGATTGTGTACTGCATATGTAAACAACAGCACTGCATGTCTTGGGCAGGCTTGGAGTCAGCACATCATTACAGTCATTCATCCGAGGTGTTTAGAAAATTCTGTCAAGCTAGTGAATTTAATGAGTATCTAAATCCTAGCAAAAGTGACTCAATTTACATTTTCATAAATTTATTCTAATGTTCACAAAGCACGTGCTGTTATTTCAAAAGAGAAGTGTAAACACTTTCCCATTTGTCTCTAATGTACAGATATTTATGTCTCCCAGAGGATGAACTGGACCTCTTTATTTTACATGCATTTATATAATCTGTCCCACTTGGTTTTTGCAGCCTATTCCAGTTTTCCTGACAAGGTGACACTTTTCCATACTTCAGTGGTAATATGAATTGCTTCCAGACTGGATCCTCCCATCCCTAGCTTTATCATCATCATCATCATGATAAATTCCTTTCTGATTTTGTATTTTGATGGCAAAGTAAAATTGACATCTGAGCATTTACAAAAGCATTTGCAGGCAGGTTAATTCTTGGCCTACACAAGAAGAGAAATACTTTAATGAACACCTCCACTGAAAAGCTTTAGTCTTGGACTAGCCAAAATCCACATTTGGGACACCAAGCTTTAACCTGCTATGCATCAGCATGTAAATGTAGTCCCTGACAATGTTAGCAAGCTCACTTTAACAGCCAAATACAGACTCAAAGTGGTGTTAGCCTGGCTACAGAAAAGGTTTTGGAAATAAAGACAATGTTGTGCTTTGCCTTGTTTAATTACAAACAAGGCAACCTTCTTTGGTTACTTACCCCAAGTCGGTTAGCGGTGGCTTGTCACGACCTCGCCTGTAGCACAATAAGATCTGCGGCGCCATGAGGGCGCCGTTGTTAAGATCAGCCGATTGGCCTGTCGGTGTTGTTTCTATGCATGTGAACCCTGGCGGCACCTCCTCCCCCACTGAGCGGATCACCACTGCCACATCTGTGATGGGTGCCTTAGGCTTGGCCGTCTTGTGGCAGACATCATCAAAGTGGATCTCCTGGTCCAACGGCTTGGACGGGTCCGTCAGACCAGCCACCACAAAGTAGTCGGCTACACGAGGGCCTTTGTCCTCCATCATTTCCCATCCCCACCAACTACCTTCAGAGGGAAAAAGAAAGAGAGGGGTAGAGACACAGAGAAAGAGAGAGAGAGAGACAGATTAATTTTCGTTGTGGTTGCAGGTACAGACGGTTCTTGTGTCCTTGCTCTGGCTTTAAAATGAAAAAAAAAAAAATCTGACAGCCATAAATCTTTCTAAAGGGAGGCCAGTAGAAGGGCAAATGGAAAGAGAGGGCAAAAATGTGGGGAAGAGAGGCTATATAATGAAGCAGCCATTTAGAGCTTGGGTAGTTAGTCTTGGGTGACAGTCTTTGGCCAGGTCACGTAATCAGCGGAAGGTTCAGCATCCCAGCTCAAGGACACACGTGGATGTGATGAGGGCATAACATTTTTGGTCTTGAGGTTTTTCAACCTTACTCTAATTCTAAAGAGTGAAACTCTGGCTAGCTACACAGACCTGAGTGTGCATTTTGAACAGGGAGCAGTGAGGTGTTTCTTCACACATTCCACCTTAATTAAAGACTGCCCCCACGTATAAACCTAAGCTTACAAGCTTTGTGATATTACAGAGCCTATTAAGCCTGTGTGATAAAAGCCAAACAGTAGTTTTCTTAATCTAGCCCAGAAGGGCATGCTCAGACTCAATAACATCATCTACATTTACTGAAGCAGCACAGTCTCAAAGGGATAATGATATGGTTATATAAACTAAAGAAATGCCTTTTGTTAGAGATAAAGAAAACATCCTCTGCAATTGACAAATTATAGAGTTGCACATGTTTACCAGCATACAAACCTCAACCTGCCTCTGTCATGAGCTGTCATGAGGTTAACTGAACTTCAGGTAAGAAGTTATGACCTGCAGTCTATCTGGGTCAGATATAAACCAAGTTTAGATGTAGTTTATTTTCGTTGTGCTGAGTTTTTACAGTCAGTTACAATAACTCGTACTGCGTGCTAGCTAGCATGATGGAGTTTCTATACAGCTGGGCGGGTGCTATGATGTTACTGATAGTGAACTTTATTTTATTCATGAGGTTAGTTATTAGAGTTGCCAATCGGGAAAAAACGGAATCGTCCCGTATTCAGTGAAAATATTAGGTGTTTCGTATTGAGCTGAAAAGGAACAGTTTGTCCCGTACTTCAGCTAGAATGAAAAAAAGACACAAAGCTGGAGTTATTCGGTGTCTTTACGCTACACAGCTGTTTCTTCTTCTCTCTTATCTCCCCTCCCTCTCCTGTTGCTATTTCAATCATGAAACGAATCAATGATCAGCTGATCGGCGTTTCAGCAAGAGAGACGGCAAGTCCCGTCTCTCTTGTTTGTTTATCCCTCCTCTTGTGTTAGCTTTCTGTTATCATCTCTCGTGTTAGCGGGTCGGTTTTGACCCGTGAATTAAATCAGCTATAAAATATACTGAAAACAATAAGTTATCATCCAATTTGTTTCTCATCTCTTGGTTACCTTGTTAGGCTTCCTTATCCATGAAAATGTTGGTTTTAATACTTTCAGTGTGGGCCTTTGGGTCTTTTTTTGTCACTATACCCCTCGATTTCAATTAAAAAAAAATTGTAAAATTAACCTCAAGAGAATCATATTAATAAATAAAAGGTTTTTGTGTTACCTGACTATTACTGAGGGGTATAGGACACATCTCTGAAATAAATGTGTTTTATTGATTTTTTCATTTTAAGATTAATAACTAAAATGACATCTATGGTGTTACGGGTCAATTTCGACCCATATATATTTACATCAAGAAAAGACAAAAAAATGTTTGTTTTTTCAGCAGTAGACCTTTAATATAAGCTGAAAAAAAGAAAAAGTCCACTCCTCCTTTCTTTTGGTTATAGTCGTGGGTAATTGTGGGCTTTTCATCACTTCCCAATGATACAGCTACACCTTTGTGAAGTTTCCTTTGTGAGGTTCTTGTCCGAGGTCATATCTGGTAAAAAAATAAAATAAAATACCACAGCTGATATTGTGACCCTGCAGTCCAGTGGTCATATCGAGGACCACACATTTTCATTGTTTCTTCTCAGGGGTGCCACTCGCAGCTTTGACTTTGAAAATCTGTACATTTCAGGCATAGTTGGTTTTTGCATCACAGGCTTCCCAGATTTTTCTGCCTTATTTCCCTGGCTTACTGTATGTATTGCCGGAAGGGGCATTTTCCTCAAAAAGTGGACAAGACGTTCATCCACTGTCACCTCTGGCCCTGGGATGAACATCAGCGGAAGAAGCTGCACCCATCTCTCCCATTCATCCCTGATGGGAGCAAGCTTGTCAGACCTCGGTCTGGTCTCTCTGTTGTCAAATCTGAGGACTCTTGAATCAAAATGATATCAACTGTGTGAAGTGACATCGTTGCCCAGAAAATATTTCTGCCTGTCGATGCGTCCCATAGACTATCAGTGGCCTCATTGCAGCATCTGTACACTCCAGCAAGAAGAAGAACACCAATGAAAGCATCCAGGTATTCCTCATCAATATCTTTCCACATGTCGCCATGGACTTTTTTTCCTTCAAGGTTTGTCATAGTAATGATGATTCTTTTTAGTGACAATGGCATAAATAGCTCAAAGCATCTTTTGATGTCACTGACTTTGGTCAGAACAGACCTTGTGATTCCAGGGGTGATTTTGATGACATTTGCAGCACATGCCCTGCTATGTACATCATGAGGTACTGAGCTCCAAAAGATCTTACCATTTTTGGACTTGAATCTTTCAGCAGGTGTAGCTTCAGCACCAGTGACCTCCACCTCTGATCAGATGTGTCTGTGTCTTCTGGATGATAGTCCACATTGTCTTCCTCCTTAGAAATCGCTATGCTGCTCTGTGTCCTCTCCTTCATTTTCACCAAAAATATGATCCAGAACTTGGTTCACTGTAAATCTTCTTCTCATTTTTGTATGCTGCAAATTGTAAATGTGCACTCTGGAAGTCAAATGGCCACTCAAATGAGTGAATTCACCTCACATGTCTTGACATGCCCGTCTTTATTTTGTTTTGTTTTTGTGCAGGTATACTGCAAAAAACATGCAAAGTAAGAATCCCCTGAAGCTCATATGATTAGGAGAGGAGCTTGCTGTCAGTGTTTTAGCTGACAGTGCACTTATGATTTTAGTTTTGGCTTTAATTATTGCTTTATACTCATAATATTATACCTGGGTCGAAACCGACCCTAACAACACAAAGGTCATAATTTCAACTAGGGCATTTTGTAATTTAGTGAAAAGATTTTTTTTTGTTTTATTTTGTAAAAATAGATGTTCCAGACAAAGTCAAAAAGCCTTGATACAATAAACAAATGTATGTAATTTTTTTATGCATTTGAAATTTAAAATGGGTCGGTGCTGACCCTAACACAAGAGGAAGGTTAAGCCCACTTTGCGCCAGAAAGAGGAAACCATGTTGTTGCGCTAAACAACAGCTGCATGTTTAAGATTGATCAGCTTTTGTTAGAATTTATTTAATATTAATTTCTAGTATCAGCTGATGTTTGCTGGAGCCACAGCTGTAAAAGCTGCTGGTCATGATATCGGTTTGGATATCTGGTGAGAGGGAAACCAGGAGATGTCCTTACAGAATCATCAGAGCTGAACAGGTGATGTGTGAAGTTATGAACTGTTTCTGAGAGACAAATAACACCAGGATCCTTTTTTATGCAGCTGACAGCTGGTAACTGTGCAGGGGCGGGTCTAGCAAAGTTTTGCCAGGGGGCCAGGTAGGGCATTAACAGGGAAATGGGGGCACAAAGAAATACTTTTCTTTCTTATTCTCATTTCAAATGTCTCGCTTTTAATAAATAATTATCTGAATCTTACAACCAAAGTTTGTATCTGTAAAAAATGTATAGAAGTCATACATATACCAACAAGACAGTGTACATCACTGTCACAACAGTGTTTGTTTTAATTCAAAGACTTTATGGCTTTTCCTATAATACCTGGTGGGCCGGTCTTTAGTCAAAATGCCCGGGCCGATTTTTTGTCCCAGTCCAGCTCTGGGCACGACACGCAATGAGTTAATTTGAGAGGGTGCATTAAAAAATAAATGGCCGGGCCAGCGGTGCACATCGCAAATTCGCTTGCATAGACACATTAGTTTGCAGCTTCTTAATGACGGTATCTTAGCTAACAACCCCAACTACCAGATTTAACTTGTAATTGGCTAAAAAAAACTTAGCCTACCGGTGAGAGCGACATTGCTAGCTGGCAGTTATTTCAATCAATGTTGAAATTTCCACATTCCGACACTTCAAATGCTTCAGGAGCTCTCCGCTCAGCGCAGCATCAGCACCACGGAAAATTCATGGATACATCCAAAGACTCGAGACAGAATTCACAATGCGTTTTCGGGACTTTCAGGTGTATGGACCAATGTTTTCTTTTCTGATCAAACCAAAAGCTTTAATGAGCAGCTGGATTTGTCTCGCATTAACTGGACACAGAGGACATCGAACTGCAGCTGATTGAACTGAAAAATTTGACTCTGTGGGGGTCAAAGTTCGCAAAACTACAAACACAGCTGGAATCCATAGCTATGCGTGTTCATGGAGCTTGCATTTTCACTTGCTGGACATCACTACCTGACAAGTTTAATGGTCTTCAGAAGAAGAATAAATCTGCACATGCGCGGTATGGACCGGGTAGACCCGATTTGTATGGTCCGACTTTCCACGTGCGCAGTAAGGATCGGGGAGTCCTGATCCGTAACTATAGTTTTATTTTTCGCTTTTGTCTACATTATATTGAAATGTTTCATTACTGCAAACAATTTAAGCGATACTTAATATCCTTAACATCTTAACAGATACTCTAACCCGTAACTATCGTAAAATGCTTGGGCTGGAAGTAGATACCTTTCGCACATGCGTGGTACCGATCGGATTTCCGGTACGGATCGGGTAGTGACATACCGGACACAGCTTCTTCTTCTTCGGGGTTTAACGGCAGCTGGCAATCTTGTACATGCAGTGCTGCCATCTTCTGTTTCAGTCC